TATGACGGTGTGTGAAAAATGTATATCATACGGGAAATTAAAAGCACTACCTTAATGTGTTGAGCAGGTCTTCTCTGGCCGTCAGTGTCTTAGCAGAGCCAATCAGCTGCTGCAGTAAGTGTGTGCTGGACTCCTGGACATCAGCTGGAGCGGTCTCCTCCTGTTTCAGCTTTACGCCGACGCCGTCACTCTGAATGAAGTGACCCACGGCTACTTTGTAGGCGCCGGCTGCTCGCTCCGAAGGCGACAGGGCCGCCGCCACAACTGAACTGGGAAGGTCCAGAACCTGAGAGGAGGTTGGAGGACACTTTCAATAACACGTTTGATCCCTTGTAGGCTTTTTGTCAGTGTAGTTACAGGTTAAACCTCATCAGACTGCCGTGAGACTTTTAAGTAAAAACATCTGTTAACTGACGTGAATGAATGTTTGAAAGGGGCGTTCCATTGACTGGATGTCATGTTAACGTAACACGGCTGAAAACTAACCACATGATCACACGACTATTCATGTACACTGGGTATGCGGGTGCCGGTGTAAACAGGAAGTAGATTGGTTGTATTACAGAACTCTTCAATAATAAACGTAGTGGAAACGTCTTAGTGTGGATGTAGCCTCAATAGACCGCGCTGACCTGCTCCAGAGGCACCACGAGGAAGGGGAAACCAGTAGCTTTGAACACAGCCTGCAGCTCAGCCGCCATCCTCTGTCTGTCCTCCACAGACTGACCTACAGCACCGCCCTCTGCAGGGAGCCAACACACAATCAATGGCTGAAGCCCTCCTGACATACAGGAACATGATTTACACTCAATATAGGAGGGACAGTCGCCATTTTCACTTACCATCTATGAAGACAATGCCAGGTAAGAATCTCAACTTCTTATGAGCATTCTGACTCAAACCCTAGGGAGGAAGGAAAGTGTTTCAGTTGCATTAAGAACATCGAGGTTGTCTTTGAATCCACAGGGTCATACATAATCTCTATGGAGAAGGAATATATATTCTGAAGTACATTTCATTCATTGAATGTTAGGGGAACGGGGCCAGGATGTGGGTACTGATCGGTTCATTAGTGAAAATCCTCCATTGAATGGAATGAGTCAGCATTTTTCCACTTCCTGTTCCGTTGTCTCAAAGTCGACGTGTTTTTGATCTTGAACGATTAGTTCTCTGATATAAAATAGGTCAGTAAACGCCCCTCTGGTGAGTTCAGAAGCTTTTACGCATCTTCAAGAAGAGTGTAAATGAGACAACTAGACGTCCACTAGAACACTAGTCCTCCTTTAGCTTGGAGACGTGAAGTCATGTGACCGCGGTGGAGTTCCTTTATCCTAACTTTAGCTTTTTACTTTACACTTCAAACATTATAAAAGGAGAGTGTTCATTTATTAAGGTTAGCTTGATGAACAACACGGGTACGTATCATTAACGTTTGTTTGACACAGAGATTATGACATCATCATCTGCAATAATCCAAAGGACAAATTCTTGAAAAAGCAGCCATGTTCAGTCGTATGGAGAATTGAGGATGCGATAAATGAAGATGCATTGAGAAGTGCTGACAGGTGAAGATCTAAAGTTCTAGATGAGAGCAGCACTCGTTGGTGGAGACAGATGACTGAAGGATGAACAAGTTTACCTCTTGGACTTGACTGAGCATTGAGCAGGAAGAAGGACCTCCAGATACAGCCAGTAGCACCTACAACCAGACCAGTCAGATATATAATGTGTGTATGTATATATATACTGTATAAAAATAAGAATGTTGTTGTGTCAGTAAAGAACAGGAGCTGTTCTTCAGACAACAGAGCACACAGCTCACCTTCTCTCCAGGGTAAAGGACTCGGTGTTTGCCCAGCACGGCTCTGAACTTATGGATGAAGTATTCCTTGAAACATCCCCTAACACAGAGAAATGACAACAATGTGAGCTAAGCCACACCCCCAGCTCTAACAAGACCTTCTGTGTCATAGAGAACACTTAGGACATCAGACACACAGCAGGTTTAACCACGACGTCATATCTGGATAGTCAATTCTTAAATAGTGGCTCGTATCAGGGACCGGTGGATCAGCGCTCAACACTGAATGTTAAAAGTGGTTGCCAGGCTACCAGTGATCACCTTTTGGTTGCTGAAACTGAAAATAGGATTACCTCATATTTAAGTGATTAAGACACGATACAGTTGTTAACAATGAAATGTATCATTAAAGAGTGAAAGCTCTGTTACAGTAACCAAACAGAATGTGATCTAACACGTTATCAGCTCTGAAGTCTTGGATCGTGGTTCTCTCAACATCAGCTGGTCCATCATCTGTACTGTCAGAGACCACCTCAGTCTGTCTGGATTCTGCTGACACAGCAGAATCCCCTCCCACATACAGCTGAACAGAGTTTATGAAATGCTTCATAATGTGATAAGATTATTGTTCCAAAGCATTATGAATATGTACGAGTGCTTTTATACAGAACTATACAGTGCTAGAAGCAGATAACAACACATTATAAGTATGTTTATAATGCATCATAAACATGGGATCTTTTCTACCCACAGATTTAGTAAGACTATGTCCATATTCACCAGCATTATCTACATGTTCTATTATTGCCATGTGAATCCTTTGAGTGCTGCTTTTTAATATCAGAACGCATCTACAGGTGCTGGTCATATAATTAGAATATCATCAAAAAGTTGATTTATTTCACTAATTCCATTCAAAAAGTGAAACTTGTCTATTATATTCATTCATTACACACAGACTGATATATTTCAAATGTTTATTTCTTTTAATTTTGATGATTATAACTGACAACTAAGGAAAATCCCAAATTCAGTATCTCAGAAAATTAGAATATTACTTCAGACCAAGACAAAGAAAGGATTTTTAGAAATCTTGGCCAACTGAAAAGTATGAACATGAAAAGTATGAGCATGTACAGCACTCAATACTTAGTTGGGGCTCCTTTTGCCTGAATTACTGCAGCAATGCGGCGTGGCATGGAGTCGATCAGTCTGTGGCACTGCTCAGGTGTTATGAGAGCCCAGGTTGCTCTGATAGTGGCCTTCAGCTCTTCTGCATTGTTGGGTCTGGCATTTCGCATCATCCTCTTCACAATACCCCATAGATTTTCTATGGGGTTAAGGTCAGGCCTTTGCTGAGTTTGCTGGCCAATTAAGAACAGGGATACCATGGTCCTTAAACCAGGTACTGGTTGCTTTGGCACTGTGTGCAGGTGCCAAGTCCTGTTGGAAAATTAAATCTGCATCTCCATAAAGTTGGTCAGCAGCAGGAAGCATGAAGTGCTCTAAAACTTCCTGGTGTACGGCTGCGTTGACCTTGGACCTCAGAAAACACAGTGGACCAACACCAGCAGATGACATGGCACCCCAAACCATCACTGACTGTGGAAACTTTACACTGGACCTCAAGCAACGTGGATTGTGTGTCTCTCCTCTCTTCCTCCAGACTCTGGGACCCTGATTTCCAAAGGAAATGCAAAATTTACTTTCATCAGAGAACATAACTTTGGACCACTCAGCAGCAGTCCAGTCCTTTTTGTCTTTAGCCCAGGTGAGACGCTTCTGACGCTGTCTGTTGTTCAAGAGTGGCTTGACACAAGGAATGCGACAGCTGAAACCCATGTCTTGCATACGTCTGTGCGTAGTGGTTCTTGAAGCACTGACTCCAGCTGCAGTCCACTCTTTCTGAATCTCCCCCACATTTTTGAATGTGTTTTGTTTCACAATCCTCTCCAGGGTGCAGTTATCCCTGTTGCTTGTACACTCTTTTCTACCACATCTTTTCCTTCCCTTCGCCTCTCTATTAATGTGCTTGGACACAGAGCTCTGTGAACAGCCAGCCTCTTTTGCAATGACCTTTTGTGTCTTGCCCTCCTTGTGCAAGGTGTCAATGGTCGTCTTTTGGACAACTGTCAAGTCAGCAGTCTTCCCCATGATTGTGTAGCCTACAGAACTAGACTGAGAGACCATTTAAAGGCCTTTGCAGGTGTTTTGAGTTAATTAGCTGATTAGAGTGTGGCACCAGGTGTCTTCAATTTTGAACCTTTTCACAATATTCTAATTTTCTAAGATACTGAATTTGGGATTTTCCTTAGTTGTCAGTTATAATCATCAAAATTAAAAGAAATAAACATTTGAAATATATCAGTCTGTGTGTAATGAATGAATATAATAGACAAGTTTCACTTTTTGAATGGAATTAGTGAAATAAATCAACTTTTTGATGATATTCTAATTATATGACCAGCACCTGTATATGTTGAAGCTCAGTGCTTTGGGCAGCTTGCACCACGGAGAACATCCTCTAGCAGTAGACGGCAGTGACGGCGTCTTACCTGCAGAACGCATCTCCTGCTCTGATGACCACGGCTGCAGTCCCCTCTTTGCATTTCACACATTTCTTGGAAACACTAATAAATGAAAGAATACACATCTTTAACAAAACAACAACTCACGATTCATATTTTATGACACATTTATGTGCCATTATTCACTGCAAACCTCTAGTCTAAATACACTGTGGAAGTTCATTGTGTCGTAGAAAGCCCCACTACAACAGTAATGGAGAGGGTGTGATGAGCTGGGCCCCTATCCACCAAGCAATCATTGAAATGAAAATGCAATCATTTATTGCCTATTCATTATATATAGCGCAATATACTGTGACGAAGGACGACCTCAGACGGGTTTCGGAGAAGCAGCCAAGCAGGAACCGCACTACGCCCCTTGCGGAAGAGGACAGCAGTCAGCTGCTCGCGGACTAATATTAACGGCATTGAGTTAGTGAAAAGGCTTGAACGAGAGTGGCGGCGCGAAATGACGGCCGTGTCTGTAAATAGATTAGAGTTTATGTTGCTGTTCGGAGTTTGACTTTCAAGACTGTGTGCGTGCAAATAACCAGTAAGTAGACGTAAAGTTTGGTGTTAGTCTAATGTAGTCATAAGTGTTATATTGTGTCATTTGCACGGCAATCTATTCTGAGAGTTAGTAGCTCGTTCCTTGTTTGCTAAGTGGTGACTGTAGGAGTCCCGGACCTGTTTATCACTGCCTGTATTCTGTCCCTGTATGTCCTAATTAGAAACCAATGTTGTATAGAGGTTTTTACTAATTATTATTTCATGTATGTCTGTTTCAGAACCACACACAATTGCTTGTTTGACTATTGTCAATAAACCTCTCAAAGGAACATCTTGTCTGGAGTGCATTCTGATCGATGCCCCCTGGTGGCCACAACTTTTAATGAACCAGTAAAATTATACAGTCCTTATACAATCCCAGTAAATACAACAATACTGTCCTGGCTTCAAAAGGATACCGTGATATGAATGTGAGGCCATACTGCCCAGCCCTGGATGGGATCATTTGAAATGTGTCTGATCACAGGACTCACATGCCATGTGTGAGAGTATGCTGAAAGAGTAGCTGGTCGTTGTAATTGTTTCTCTCCAACTGGCCATGAAGTGACCCTTTCCTACCAACAGAGCTCAACCACCTGGTTTGTATCCCCTGCTTTATGGTCTGTTTGACTCTAAATGGACCATAATGTACTAAATGAACATCATGCTGTATTGAAGAAGACTTGAAACTAGAGATTGAGACCATAAACTCATGTTTACAATGTTTACTGAGGTAATAAATCAAGAGAGAAGTAGAGTCATTTTCTCATAGACTTCTATACAACCAGAGGAGTCGCCCCCTGATGGACACTAGAGAGAATGCAGCTTTAAGACACTTCAGCATCGGCCTCACTCCTTAGCACCGGAGGTTACTGCCTGGGCTCAACACTGACATTAATGAGTGGCTGCCAAGCCGGTAACCAGGCATCAGCTTTTCTTTGACGAAACTGAAAAAAGTGTTGCCATTTTTAGGCACCTCATATTTTGAGTAATTGAGTTCTGATTCACACAAGCTCCACACTCTCATGGAGGATATGGGTAATACTATTCTCCAATCACGCGCACATATTTGCCCACTAAAGTTTTGCATCAGCGCAGCCGGCCAATCAGGACGTGCCTGCCCGAATACACGTGAACCCACAGTACAGAAGGCAGCACACCCTCTGCTAATCTGCTCACTGTCAATGGCAACATGTCAACCCGTACTGTCGATCCCTGGTTTAGCAACTGATAACTCTTTCAGCGTGTGTATGGCATGTGGAGTATTGTGTGAAGAAACACAACTGTATTTTGGATCATGCACTGTAATAATACAGGACCTGCCATAGTTGATGTTGTATGCGAGTGGTGCACTGATTACCCCAAATGAATAGCATTTTATCATATGACCAAAGCCAATTGATATGCAGTGAACATAGAGCTTTTGGGCCCCTGAGAGTCTTGGTTCCTGGGTGGGGTTTCTTCCTCACCGCCACTTTGGCAGGTCACTTGAACGTTTTTATAGCCATTACAATCAGTCAGCTACTTCAGAAATCTATTTAGAACGCTTTAGAAGTGTAAACACTGAGTCAGTGGCACCAGAAAGTAGAAATGCATCATGTAACCTTGCTTTTTCAAAATAATATTCCTTAATATAAGAAAACCTATCTGCATGTCTGTCTGGTTGACTACAGATACAGGACCGTTCGTAATGTAGTGAACTATTTCATTTAATATTGATTGTATATTTGAGATGTTTGCTCTGCTGATAACATTGAATCTATCTTTATTGTGGTGGAACTTTGACTCCAGCTCACCAATCACAGACAAGCAGTTCATAAAGCCCAAATAAGGAAATATGACGCTAGTGCTGGGCGGTATACCGCTTTTAATTTCCCGTATGATATACATTTTTAACACACCGTCATACCGGTGCAAAGCCGAAACAACTGCTGTCACTCTTCAACAGGCAGCAGAATATGTTATTGTGTATCGAGAGGGACCCCTAATCATGGTTATGACTTTATAACAATTAATAACTAACGCTCTTGCCTAGTGAAGATCAAGATGGCAGCCTCGGTACTGCGCTCTCTCGTACTTTTTCTGTTTTCAGGGGAACTCATCAGCATACTTCAGCAATGTCAAATGTTACTCGGTCACAAATTCGTTGGTAAAGAGAAGCCAGGTTGGCAGCACGTGCTCCCCCATAACTCTCGAGTTGAATTGATTTTATTTTGTCCTGCCCAAAATCACAAATTTGCCTCAGAGGGCTTTAAATGTGAAGATGACGACATGAGATGATGCATCAACTGGGACCGACTTAAACATGGCCGTCAATGTTCAGAGGAAACATGCCAGCACTACTTTCAATGAAGCAGACAACGTACACACTGATGCAATAACCCACCTGGGCACCTCCGCGCGCTGCAGCGGCTCGTGGTAATCTTCATCCACCTGGCACATTGGAGCGACGGCTAACGAGCTGTAGCAGGTCGGACGTTAGTTCCACTGAATGCAGAGACAGGGTTCGTGACCAGGAGAGAAACCTGCGTCTAACGTTGAGCTCGTAGAAGAGTCGGGTCTGTTCACCAGCTCCTTTATGCAGCGTTCACATAGACAACATACATGTGGGATGCTATGTCGTGAAATGTTCACTCCGCTAACTTTATTTATGTTACTACAGCGCGCCACTGTCGCGTGTGTAAATCATGGCTCTTTTTGGATGACGTAGCGGATCTTCTTCTTGATGTTTTGGGCGCGTTGCCGCCGCCAGCTGGTGTGGAGCGGTCATCGAGAAACAAGACCTGGAGCAACACAAGGCATTGAGCCACTGTGATGGAAACAGAAATAAAGATTCTGCAAGTCATTAGAATGAGAAACTTTCTCAAAATAATGACTTCTCATTTTTCAGCCACTTTTTGATCTCAGTCAAACCAACAGCTTCAAGCTTTTACTGTATGTACGTACGTAGGCAAATCTTGAAAAGTTTAGAGATTCACAGAAAGTGCAGTTTTATTGAAGAGACTGTTGAAAGACAAAACTTTACTAAAAAGGTCTACAACAAATATCACACACAAGTATTTACAGAATGAGAATTCACAATGAGTATGAATGCGTTTGTATGCGAGCCGAGGATGCGCTTTAGATTTTATTGATGCTGGCAGCAGGCAGGGTGGATTTGTCCAAGTCGTCAAAGTAGGCATGAGTCATGGCCTCGCGTGCTGAGATCCTCTTGGGAGGATTGTAGATCAACATTTTCTACAGCAGAGAAACAAGACGGGGGGGGGGGGGAGACGGTGTCACTCAGGAGATGTGTGTAGCAGCGCTGCAATCGGATCACAAAACTCAGGCTTCGTATAACGGGTCTGTCTCATGGATCGGATCAGCAAAAGAGGAAATCTATCTTCAAGAGATCCCAGAGCACATTCTTTTGTAGCTGATATTTGCCAATCGTTGATGATCCATATCATTTAGGTTGTGTTTGATTATAGCAGCTGGTCTACAAGGCTCCAGACTTTGTAGTTTGTTAAAGTCATCTATAGGAGTTATCTGCATAAAAACACACTATTCAAATGATTAGGAAATGAAAGATTGGATTTTTATTGATTCAATAAAAATCTTGTCATCAATAGTTTTAATGATGCATTATAAGCTGCTTAGTGTTAGGAAGTTAAATGGCTCATAATTCATCTATATCTATTTGTTGCTGTGAAAACATCTTCAAACTGGATTTATTCAAGTTTTAGTACATTTTATAAGATTACATTTCATCACGACAACGTTATAATGTAACTACGCCCAACAATTCACTGAGCAGAGCCTGAACGCATCATAATGTAACTGAAGTGAACCTGGCATTTCAGTTGATCCCACTAGATGGCGCACTCCAGACACAATTGACCTTTGCTGGAGTCTGGTCTATTCTGTCTATTGGTTCTTAGCAGTCACTACTTGTCCTTCCCTGGTTCGTCACGCCTCTATCACGTGACCCTTTCCCGGAAGATCACAAACAACAACATTGATCACCGATCGACTACCAGGTTAATTCAACATGGACAACTGATTACAGGCGTTGTCTTTACTAGCAGCTGTTCAGTTAAATTCTGCCTTTCTGTGGAAGAAGCAGCTGTTATTGGAGCGATTAGTGAGCGGCGTGACCAGCGGTTATCAGACCTACGGAGCGGACGTCTGAAGTCACGTTTAGTGGCTCCGAGGACTTTCCTTTTCTTATTAATGCTTATTTTGTTCTGCACATCTATTGTGAAGTCCACACACAAACTGTAAAGGAACAAAACATTGATTGCTCTCCAGCAGGACAGAGACTTCAGACACCAGCAGAGCTACGAGTGAACAGAAACAATGAAACACGTTTATGGACCCATAATCAAGTAAACTTTTATGTGCAAGTGTTCATTTTAAAAATAAATTTGATGTGTGTGAGAGAGAGACCCACAGCGTTGTAACTAAGTCTGAAAAATAAAACTTCTAAAACTTTCCACGAAATGTGTATTTGAGTTTATAAGTATCAAACACAAGCTTTCATTATTAAAGATACTTTATTATTCTGTCGTATTTTGTTTCGCTAAGCAACCAATCTACTTCCTGTTTACACGGCACCCACCCATGAGCGGACCAAAGAAGAGAGAAGTCGACAGTGAGTGCCGAGTGGTTAATGAGGAGTGGACAGCTAAATGTTTTCACCGAAGTGTGATCAAAGGCTGTATGTCTTATTTGCCAAGAAACCGTTGTGGTTTTCAAAGAATACAATATCAGCTGTCACTTTTCCACCAAGCATGCTAATAACTATGCTAGCAAACAGTCAACGCAAGAACGGGCGCTACTGCTCAGAGGTTGGCAGCCAATTTAAAGACTCAGTGGACAATTTAAAGACTCACTGCTATTCTCCTGCCATCTAGTGGACCTTTTGTTGTTTAACAGTTTGTTCCCAGTTTACTGGTGAATAAGTTCTTGTTATTACATTTGAACAAATATTGTGGTAAATTCCATAAAAATGTCACTTGATCGCATGCAGCTTCCCCTTTTAAAGACAAATTTGAAACAGCCATCAGCCAACCACCAATGAAGTTTTGATCTTAATAGACCAAAAAAAAAAAAAAAAAATATCCAATCAAATTGTTCCCTTAAAATCGACCCGTGGATTTGGAGAATGAGGACCAAATTGAACCTTACAAGGCATTGAGGAACTGCATCCTTTACTCTGGTTCTTGTCATGTAGAGGGACAATGTATGTGTAATCACGCTAGATGTTTGATAGGATGCACACAACCAGTATAAGCCTGGAGTTTGAGATGTGGCAAATCATTTCAATTGCTCTCCTAATATTAATCATAAAGAACTGAGTTCTTCACTTGTTCAGCCCTTTCCTTACCGCCAGTAGGTCCAGGCCATTGTTATCCAGGTTTTTCACCATTGATGACAGGTTGCCAGACTTCCATTTCGGGAAGGTGTTTTTGTAGTCAGGTAGGCTCTCTACCTCCGGCCACACTTCATTGTTTGGGGTCCCCAGAGTCCTAGAAAGAACAGAACCAGACAGAAGGATTCAAAGAGGACCAGGACGAGTGTGCAGAGCAGGGGTCACTAATAGGCGGACCGCGGTCCGGACCCAGACGCTTTCCTATCCGGACCCGGCCGTATAACTGATGGACAATTGAGAATTATACATTTTGCCGGAGGGCTTCTATTTGAACCTGCACAGCTTTTCTAGCCTTTACGGCACTCTGTCAGCAGTCCAGGAAATACACCGACTAATTACATGCATTGTAAATCATCTCACGTGACGCTACTCAGCCATTTGAATATCTGTATTGTGAAATGCATCGTGAGCCGAGTGAGATTTGCACACAGACAGGAGAGATAGAGAGCAGAGGGAGAAGTCAGTCAGAGAAGCAGTTTCACATGGCGTGCTCTAAAAAGAGAGAAGTGGACCACGAACACAGAGCTTTAACAGAGAATGGACGGTCTCCTATTTGTTCATTCTTCCTGCTGGCGCTAATAAACCACTCTGTCTCATATGTTCAGATATCGTGGCCATTATTGAAAGCACCGATGTGTAACACCACTACCAGACCAAACACACCTACTCCAGTCTGAACTGAGGGCAAGATGTTGAGATGTGTAGAGGTTGTTTATTATAAAGTTGACTGAGACAGTTAGGATGTGAAATGGAGGTTTAGTTTGGCCATGTTTTCTCAGTAAATACCAGATGGAACAACTGATGAAGGTTTACCTGAAGATCCTAAAGAGCTGGTCTATCTCTGAGTCTCCATGGAACAGAGGCTTCTTAGTGGCAAGCTCAGCAAAGATGGTCCCAGTGCTCCAAACATCGACGGGGGTTGAGTATCGGGGTGAACCCAGGAGGACCTCTGGAGCTCGGTACCAAAGAGTCACCACCTGGAAACACACAAGGGGTTCATTCAGCTCAATGGTCATTCTAGAGGCCTGCCGCTTGTTGATGCTAATCAAATATGTACATGAACATCATTCGCCAAGTGTTGGTGATGCTCTACCTCCGACAACTGTGAGAGGGCAGTTTTAGTCCAGAAATCCCAGTGGTGTGTGTGTGTGCGTGCGTGTGTGTGTATGAGAGAATTCTCACCTCATGGGTGTAGACCCTGACAGGAACACCAAAGGCCCGAGCAAGGCCAAAGTCGGCCAATTTGATAACTCCTTTGTTGTCGATCAGTAGGTTCTGGGGTTTCAAGTCTCGGTGGAGGACTCGACGACAGTGACAGAAGTAAATGCCCTCCAGGATCTGGTAAAGGTAGCTCTGAAAGGTGGGGTGGGGGAGCAGAATGAACATGACATGGACACATGTTTAGAGTTGAGAAACTGAATGGGCAGAACAAGACAAATGGCACTGCCCTTTCCTTAGAGGTGACTCACAAAGATGGTGTTACAGAAGGTCATCGGTTTTTGTTATGTTGTTTCTGAAAAGTGGTAAGCCCAAATACGAGTTAAAAAAAGTAGGATTTCTGGACAGAAATGTAGCACAAGAAATAAAATCCCCTGTGGCCAGACACTTCAATTCAACTCCCATGATGCATGTTCCCTCACATTTAACAAGTTAAAGAAATGGTACATCCCTTAAAAAAATAAACTAAGAAAAACAAGAAAATCTGAAAGAACATGGCATTCCACCAATTTGTTAGAATCTCAGTTTGTCTGGCGAGACAGTCTTAAGACTTATAAGAAGGCCCTCTGTAATGACTCGTGTTCGCTCTGGTCTCGTTAGACTCGTTATCGAGCTGTATTCACTGTGTCTAGCAAGCCACACATCTCTGTTTACTACAGCTGTATGAACACAAAATAAACTGATTTGGCTGTGATTTAACAGCAATAAACCGACAAAAAGGGACTCCGAAATGATGCCGATTTGTAGGCTACTTGTCTTGGAGCTCGGATGGGTCGGTGTTAGGCTATGCTAACATTGTAGCAGCTCCTTCAACACTCAGAATAACGTCATGTAGACGTAAATACGGCAGCATCTATTCATTGTTTGTACCATATGGTTCTCACACACACACACACACACACACACACACACACACACACACACACACAGTTTGGTCTCTATTGATATGAGGTATCGTAGAGCTCTGGGTGAACACAGATGGCTACAGTATTTATTTCCTGATTCAACAACGTAAACATGTTGGAGTCCTTGAGGAGGAAGGGAGTTCAACAGCAGGGTTAGTCACTACAGAATCCTACTTTT